TGCCCTCTCCACCTCTGTGCCCATCAGCCACAGCCCAGTTAATCTCACTGATGTGCAGGGATGAGTTAAATGCACCCAGGAACATTTCCCAGAACTCTCCACCCCCTGTGCTGCCTCTACTCCCTCTGCTCTTTACCTTCCCTGTATGTCCAGAGTCAAAGGTGTTCAATTTCTATCAAACTACCCAGAGCAGCCTAGATAATTTTGGGGATTGCTGGCCTCTGTGTGGTTGGCTTTTCACGTTAAACAGAAGCTCTACTAGTGGTGGCACACAGGGGATGGATTTCCACCTGTAGCAAGAGGAATGAGCTGCATTGTTTTCTATCCTATGAGGACTTGCTAGGCCAGCCACTACAAGCACTTTGACTGCAAATGGTTGTCCCAGGCATGGAAATAGAAACACTCCAGACTTTCCTTTTGTTCCCTTCAGATGGTTGTTTGCTCAGGGGTTTTTTTCTGAATCAGGGAAGATATTTGAACTAATAATGGCACTTTTGGCTGAGATTCAGATACATGCATTCTATATATAAAATATGTACTTGTATGTAAAATAAACACACAGTAGTTTATACATACATATAAATACATATATAAAATACATGTAGGAAGTAATTCCAGACACAGGAGGCAGGAGTTCTGTGGGAGCAGAGCCAGGAGCCCCTGTGGCACCCACTGGAGCTCTGACCACACTGGAATATTTACTGTTCCCTGCTTCCCCTGCACTGAACCTTGGCTACCAATTACCCTGTATTAAATTGTCTTTGGTCGTGCCAGTGATTATACAGTATCCAGGCAACCCGACCATAATCTAATTTAACACCCAACATGGATTTACTCTGCTGCTGTTCTCCTTTGTTTTGCTGGAAGGGAGTGAGAAGCGAGTGGTGTCCAGGGACAGCCAGGGAATGGCCTGGGGGACGGTGCTCCCTGGGCTGGGCTGTCCCCAGGAAAAGGACCAGCCCAGAGTCCCAAAGCCACTGACAGCCTGGCCCAGTGTGAGCAGGAGTGGAGTGAAGTGGTTCTGCACATTCCTCCATTAGTTGTTGCTTTCTCCTGTGCTGGAAGTGGCTCCTGTAAAGCGGGGAGCAGAAAAAGCACCCACAGAAATCAATGGTGGTGCGGTTCTCTCAGAGTGCATCAAGGGCCAGAAAGAAACAGCAGGTTAAAAGGAAAACACAGTGACTGCTTGGAAAACTTGTAAAGAGCAGCTCAGGAATGGCACTGACAGTCCCTGCTGAACAGCCCCAGCATTAAGCCCACTTTGGGCTGAGAACACCCATCTTTAGAAACCGCGGCGTTATTTCCTCGTACAAAGGATGATGAAGAGCTGTAATTCAGAGTGAATTATCCTGTGGGTAATGGATGGGGAATTTGAAGGATGTGAAAGGTGAATCATGTTTTGGAGCACGGCTGTGGTGACCTGGTACAGGGATGGCTATTGCTGGAAAAGTACCCGGGGAGCAGAGCAGGAGTTCCTGTGGCCCTGAGGTTGATTCCAGAAATGAGCTGGATTGCACAGCTGCAGCACAGCTCCCACTTTGCTTCCAGAGGCAAAGCAAAGCACCCTGAGCAGGGTGTGGTGGTGGAGGTGAGGGTGGCTGAGTGGGCAGTGGCTGGGCAGGCCCGTGGCTGGTGCTGTGGGACCATGTCCTGCCTGGGAAGCCATTAATAGCCCAGTCTGAAATAATTGCCAGGACCACGCTCAGCTGCCTCCTGTAATGAGCTGATGACAGTGCAATTTATTAGAGTGATGTAGGACATGGTAACGGTAATGAGAAATGGAGGCACCTAATTTTGTGCGACTTAGATCAATTCAGTTGTTTTTTTATAAATGAACATTGTTTTACTAACCACAGAAGATCATTAAAATTATTATTTTATTAACGCTTCTGAAAGCCATTTGGACTGCAGCTGCGTTTTTCCATATCCAATTAGGAGCATGTGAATGTGTGTCTGAAATGCAATTTTGCAATGCAAAAATGTCATTGGGATTTGTGAGTGATGTGGCTGGGAGTGGGGGGTGGGTTTGAATCCCCATGTAAGTGTTATTTAGTATATAAGTATTATTTAGTATCTGTTGTTTCTTACTGGACCTGTTCTGCCTTTCTTGCTGCTCCACGAGGTTGTGACTCCCTAAGGAGAGTTTGTTTCCCCTCCCAGCTCCGTGGTGCTGGCATGGCCAGGAGCAGCTCGGCGAGCTCTTGGCTGTGGTGAGGATGAGGATGAGGATGAGGATGAGGATGGGAATGGGGATGGGGATGGAGATGGAGAGAGGTTCTGTGCCCGCCCAGGGGTGGGGATGGCCAGCCTGGCTGGGTGGCAGTGTGAGCAGCATGTCCCCTGTGGTGTGGCTGTCTCCCTTTTGAGGCTGTCCCCCTGCTGATGCTGTCCCCCTGCTGAGGCTGTCCCCCTTTTGACCCTCCCAGCTCTGTGGTGCTGGCATGGCCAGGAGCAGCTCGGCGAGCTCTTGGCTGTGGTGAGGATGAGGATGAGGATGAGGATGAGGATGGGGATGGGGATGGGGATGGGGATGAGGATGAGGATGGGGATGGGGATGGGGATGGGGATGGGGATGGGGATGGAGAGAGGTTCTGTGCCCGCCCAGGGGTGGGGATGGCCAGCCTGGCTGGGTGGCAGTGTGAGCAGCATGTCCCCTGTGGTGAGGCTGTCCCCCTGGTGTGGCTGTCCCCCTGCTGATGCTGTCCCCCTGCTGAGGCTGTCCCCCTTTTGAGGCTGTCCCCCTGCTGATGCTGTCCCCCTGCTGTGGCTGTCCCCCTGGTGTGGCTGTCCCCCTGCTGATGCTGTCCCCCTGGTGTGGCTGTCCCCTCTGTGGCAGACCCAGCGCCCGTCTCCAGGGCAGCCCAGCTGCCCCAGCCGCTTTCTGACAGCGGGATTCCCGCAGGCTGTGATCAGACACTCACATCTTCCTGGCAGTGGGGCAGTTATGGGTGAGAGGCAGGTCCTGCCTGCTCCCGAGGGCTTTGGCAGGAGCTCCCCACTCCGAGCTTGGATGCCAAGCACAGGCTCGGTGGAGGGGACAGCTCTGCCTGCTCCCCAGGGATGCAGTGTGCACCAGCGTGAGGTTTCTTGCCCGGGCAGTGAGCAGGGCTGGTGCTGCTGTGGGGGGAGCTAAGCCAGCAGCCCTGGTCCCTGAGCCCCCCTTGTGATGGCACTCCTGTCTGCTGCCTGAGGAGCTGTGTGTAGGGATGAGTTCTTTGCTGGTTCAGGTGAGGTTTGGATGGAAAAGGATGGAAAGCATCTTTTCTTTTTAGCCAGCCTGGGCTTGCAGGGTGCTGAAATATGCTGAGCTTGCACACGAATGTCTTGACCCCAAGGTCAATGTTAGGAACTCACAGCAATATAAAGTGAGGGTCAGCCCAGCAAGTGAGTCTGAGCCTCACTGTGTGCTGGCCTGCTGCATCTGTCCAGGGAAACAGAAGAGAAAGTGAAGGAAAAGAGACCAAAACTCCTTCAGGCTACAACCCTGTGAGCACACAGCCTGAAGCCGCCACGTTTCCTGCTTTAGGAGGTCAGGAGCAAACCACAAGAAAGACTCCTGGGGCCACGGGCTGCACTGCAGGTCACGGGCAGCACGGGCACACACATGTCCCCTGGGACTCAGCAGTGACCCTTTGTGGCACCAGCAGTGCCTGGGGCACACAGGTGTCCCGTGTGTCCAGCAGTGGCCAGGGTGCACACAGGTGTCCCTGTGTCACTCAGCAGTGCCCAGGGGGCACACAGGTGTCCCTGTGTCCCAGCAGTGCCTGGGGCACACAGGTGTGTCCCAGCAGTGCCCAGGGGCACACAGGTGCCCCTGTGTCCCAGCAGTGCCCAGGGGGCACACAGGTGCCCCTGTGTCCCAGCGGTGCCCAGGGGACACACAGGTGTGTCCCAGCAGTGCCCAGGGTGCACACAGATGTCCTCGTGTGTCACTCAGCAGTGCCCAGGGGGCACACAGGTGCCCCTGTGTCCCAGCGGTGCCCAGGGGACACACAGGTGTGTCCCAGCAGTGCCCAGGGGCACACAGGTGTCCCTGTGTCACTCAGCAGTGCCCAAGGTGCACACAGGTGTCCCTGTGTCACTCAGCAGTGCCCAGGGGGCACACAGGTGTCCCTGTGTCACTCAGCAGTGCCCAGGGGCACACAGGTGTGTCCCAGCAGTGCCCAGGGTGCCCAGAGAGCTCTGTCCCTCCTGGAGGGCTGGGCACCTGCAGCCCAGCGTGGCCGAGGGGCGCTGCCTGTGTCCCTGTTGCTGTGTCCCCTCGGGGGGAGGCAGAGCAGGGGACATGTCCCCTTAGGGCTGCTGGGGCTTTGCTCCTCTCAGACCCGGTGCCAACTGGAGCTGCTCCAGGGCAACCCCTCAAGCACCATAAACAGGGTACCACCTCCTCAGCATGAGCTGCTGCACTTTGCTGAGCTGCTCTGTGCCCTCTTGGGAGCTGAAGGAGATGGAGGTGGGGAGGAGGAAGGCTTGGGTGTCCCTGGGTCCCCATCTTGTGCCATGGAGAAGGGAACACGTGGGGATCAGGGGGCAAAGCCCCATCTTGGCCTCCCAGGCAGCCTGGCTGGGCCACATGGGACTGACCTCTGGTGCTGGAATGGCTGGGAAGGAATTGGCCTTTGGAACATATGAGGTCACTCATTGAGTTGGAGAGCAGCATGTGTCAGAGGTCCAACAATTTGTTTTCAGAAGGGTTTTAAGCATTAATGATTCAAGATGTTTTCCTGGGAGTGGTTTGCAGCGTGAGGCTCGGTGGCTGGCGTGGGGTTGAGGTTTTATGGCATTAGTCAATTCATGGAGGCTGAAAGGTCCCCAGGAGCACAACAGTTAAATTTGTACTTTTCCACATGGCTGAGCCTTCAAGGAGCTCACCAGGAGCGTGAAAAATGTAAACAGGGTTGTAAGCCTTGTGCCAGCCACGAGGCAGGGAAGGCAGGGAGGGGGTTCCCTGTGGATTAGTTCCATCACCTACTTCATTTTCTTTCTCTTTTTTTTCCCAGGGTTGCAGATAATCACAAGCAGAACCTGATGACTGTTGCTAATCTGGGTGTGGTGTTTGGGCCGACGCTGCTTCGACCTCAAGAGGAAACGGTGGCTGCCATCATGGACATCAAATTCCAGAACATCGTGATTGAAATTTTAATAGAGAACCACGAGAAGGTAATGGCTTCCCTTGCTTCTTCCATGTCAGTGATTTATGGAAAGGAATTGGTCTCTCTTTGCCCGTGGCAGCCCCCTCTCCATGGCCAGTGGCACCACGGTGGGGCTGTGCTGGGGAGGGGGCAGCTGGCACCTCGTTCTGGGGCTGTGTGACCAGGGCTGCTGGTGGCCAGCCTTGTTTATGGTCATCCCAGTGTGTCAGCATGGCCGTGTCTCCTCACAGAAATTCCCTTTCTCCCCCTTCCCACTGTTCAGTGGGAATTTGTCCTTGGTTTCAAGAGAGATGAGTGCTAAAGCAAACCAGTGAGAGGCACACCTCGGCTGGCTCCTGCTTTGCTGACTAAATCCAGGTTTATCCAAGTGCTGGCTTTATCCACAGTGTTGATCTGAATCCTGATGCATTTGTGTTGGTTGGCCATGGATGTTGGGGTCTGCCAGTGCAGCAGTGGAGGCTCGGTGGGGCCGAGGTCCTGGCCATCCTTCCCTGGCTGCCTGTGCTTTTTAAAAAATACCATTTCCTTCTAAATGCAGCCAGTTCCCTGATTACGATCTTTTGTTAGTCTGGTTTTGATTGGAAAGCAGTAACAGATTTGGACAGCAAAGGCAGAGCTAGAAAGCAGCTTGCCCTGGCTGGGGTGCCATCGTGGCTCTGGGTCCACATCCAGTTCTGCCTTGAGCAGAGAGCTGTGCCAACGTGTGCTTTTCCTGTTGGGAAAGCCTGGCTGTGCCAGCTGTCTGTCTGGCAAGGGCAGGAGAGCAGGAAGGACACTGAGGAATGGGTTTAATGGACTCTCAGCAATGGAGAGGGGCTCTGAGAGAGCTGGTCTGGAGGGGTCACTGCCCTTCTCTGAGCCTGTGGGCTCTGGAAGAGGAGCAGTACACAACCAAATATCAGCAACCAGCAAGGCTGCTGCCCTTTGGGTTCGTGCAGTTTTAAAATTTCATCCCCTTGAGAAAAATGTGATTACTCAGTTTTCTGACAGCTGTAGCTGGAAGTTGCAAAGACTTTCCCAAGCTGGTCTGCAGCCGTGGGAGCGTGGGCGCCGGGGTCACGCCGTGGGGGGCACAGGGGGGACACTGCTGGTCTGTCTGGGCTGCTCATCATCACCTGCACCCCCAGGAAGTCAGCAGAGTGCCAGAGCCTTCTTCACAGCTTGCAGTGTGCCTCTTGGGTGAAAAAAAGAGGAGTGCAGACAGAGTGGAAACGTGGGATTCAGGAATCTGTCCCCAGAACGTTGCCCTGTTGAGTGCCTGTCATCCTCAGAGCTGCGCAGGGGAGCGGTGCAGCCCAGGCAGGTGGGCAGCCGTCCTGTTGCACGGGGCCATGCCAGAGAACAAGTTGTTTATTATTTTTAACAGATATTTAACACGGTGCCAGAGGCTCCGCCGTCGAACTCGCAGCTGCTGTTATCGCGCAAGAAGAGCACGGAGTCGAAGCCTCCCTCGTGCAGCGAGCGGCCGCTGACGCTCTTCCACACGGCCCAGCCCAGCGAGAGGCGTGAGTGCCCTCCCAGCCCCCAGCTGGGCCCTAGCCCTGCCTCACAGGCCGTCATTCCCGTGCCTTTCCCGTGCACTTTTCCTGCTGTCCGTGGAAGGGATGATTCCATAGCGGGGTCAGGCTTCGGTTTCCTCTGCTGTCGCGTTGGTGGGGAGTGGAATCTCTGCTGGCATCCAGGCCCTTAACTGGGCTCGACAGGAGGCTGCCTTAGCACAGGATAGAGTGTTGCTGTCCCCTCCCCACCTGACGGGCCCCTGCGTGTCCCCTTCTCATGTTCCTGGGCCCGTCATCGCTGCCATCAGCTGCCAGGACGAGGGTGCCACACCTGTGGCAAGGGCGGCCACCACAGGCCGGCCCTTTTGGGATGCCCTCGGGCACTTTGCCTTTTACAGACAGGAAAACTCAGCCAGGAGGTTCGGCATTTTCCTGAGGATTATGTACCATGGCAGTTTAAAAATGTTGGAGCTCATCTTTCCATTTCTGTCACTAATTGATGCTCCAGATATTTGGGTGAAAGAGCCAAGGCCCCAGCCCTGCTCATGGGGTGGCAGAAATGTGTCTGCTCAGGCTGTTGTTTCATGTTACAGAGCAAACCCAACTCCCAGCTCTCTGGTTCTCCCTGGCCATGTGCTCCTGGAGCCAGCCAGCTGCACACAGGGAGCTGTCCCAGTTTGGTAAAAAAGCAGGAGAGTCTCCTGGTGAGCAGGACAGCACCAGTGGAGCAAGGAGCAGGGCTGGGGATGGCCAGCTCCCCAGGGTACACAGAGTGGCTGCTGTGGACTTTGCTGACTCTCAAAACACGTGGGTTTGTCTGATTAGGTTACTGTTAACTAGCAGGCAGTCTCCTGTCGGAGGTGTCGGAAAGATGCGCGTGGGTTTAGGAAGCAGGGGTGGCCCTGGAGCGTGCTCTGGAAATGCTGTGGGACGGCTCTCGGTGAAGCCTCAAATATCAAACGCTGCTTTTGAAAACTTTCAGCCCCAGTAATTCATCTGCTGCTAATGAAGCAGTGGCTTGTCAGCCTCCAGGCTCTCCAGGCTCCGTGTCCATCCTCCCCGTGCCTGGGAGAGGAACTGAGCTCATTTCTTTATTTCTGCATTTATTTATTCCCATGTGAAGCAACATTTTCTTGGTGTTCCTCCTGACAGTCTATAACCTCCCGCGTCTTTGGGAAGCCACTACTGTTTTATTTGCCTTCCCTGCTGCTCATCATGAGAAATATGTGAGGTTTCCTTGCTTCTTTTCTTCTTCTTTTCCTTTCTTACTGGTCTGGAGACAGACCAAGGCTCTGAAGTCAGGGTGAAGCACAAGGACTTAGGCAGCAGCTCAAGCCCCATTGAGCAGCACAGAAATTGAAAGTTGAAATTGAAGCCAGAAATGTTCTAAATGAGAGCAGGGTGCACATTGTTTAAGACTGGGAGCAGTTTGACTTAAAAAGAAGTGGAATGGGACAGCGGATTTTCCATCACTTGAAACCTGTTCATCAAAATCCAATATCTTTCTGTTTTCACTAGCATGCATCGTACCAAGCTGTGTCTAAGTCAAAAATTATCATGTTCAAGAACAGGAAGCAGATTAGATAATCATGATTAATCCATGATTATAGTGATTATTTTGTTGTTAAACATTTACATTTTTGTCCACATCTGACCCAGGGAGTAGCTCTTGTGACACAAGTGTCACCAGCACAGCAAACAGCATTTTGTTCCTTATCAGCTCTTTTGTCATCCCCTCTCTGGCCCCTGGGGTCACTGTCACCAAAGTGCCCTGGATCAGTTACCAGGGTTCCTGGAGACCAAGGCTCTGGTGAGGCTCCAGTGGCTCTGCCTGCCTGACTTCCCACTAGAGAGAGGAAGTTTGGGTAAGGGGTGAAAGGCTCTTTTCTCTGCATGCTGGAAATGCTCTTGAGCTGATGGGCAGCTCTGCTCCTGCAGCTGTAAGACCAAATCAAATCTCCCAGCGAAGAATCCTTCACGTGAGCTTTCAAAAACATGACGTTTCAGCCTTTTAAAAAGGAAGAAATAAAATGAAGCAGGAGTTTCAGATTCTGCCATTGAACCCTATTCCCCCTGAGCTGAGGCCCTTCCAGTTCTGTGGCTGACAGGGACTCCACTCTTGGCTTGTGGCTGCTGAGGAGATTAGAGGGACAATCCACGCTGAGCTGCCAAGCTTATGGAGCTTATTCCCAGCCTTCAGCCTTGGGCAGAAGTTTGCAAATGATAAGCTGGTGTCAGTCCCTCCTCCAGGGGCTCAGCTCAGCTCCTCAGGGCTGGCTGGGCTCAGCACAGGCAGTCCCTGGCCCTGGCCAGCTCTGTACAGGTGGCCTCTCATGGGCTGCCTTAAACTTGCTCTGGCAGATGCAAAACCAGAGGGATTTGGGTGTTTTAGGTCCTTATACAGCTTAATTTCTTTAATTTTTCCATCTGCTGGCTGTCACATCTGCCTGTCAGTATTTGTGGAGGTCAGTACTCTGCTTTTCTTCACTTTTCCCTCTTTGTCTTCTGCATGGATCATCTTTTTCATCCCAAGGTGCTGGTGCCCTGAGGGTTGAGCTTTTGCAGGGCTGGGGACAAAGAAATGTCTGTGCTGCTTGTTCCCATGGTGGCTCATTGCAGATGAAGATTAATGAAATCCAGTCTCAGGAACACGTTGACATGTTTCAACATCACACATCCTTGGAAGACAAGCTCAACCTGAGCTAAACCAAGCCCTGTCCTGCTGCCCTGCAGGTGCTGATTCTGCCCAGGTACCTGGGAAATGCAGCAGCTCCAGAGCTGAAGTGGCATTTCCCTTTGGAGTGGTGGCAGAGCTGCACCAGCACCCCAAGACAACCCTCCTGCCAGGCTGTTTCACAGGCAGTTCCTTTCTGCTGTGTGCTCAGGATTAACCTTTCACACAACCCAGGAGTTCCTCTTGCACTCTTTTACCCCCTTTATATGTGCACAGAGTACCAATTAATATTGCACGTTCTCCTCACGCAAAAAGAGATGGAATTTAAAGGGATTGGGAGCAAGGATCCCCTGTCACTACATGCTTTTGGGTTGTAGTTTGACCATGTTATTGTGCACAGGAAAAATAGTTTTGGGAAGAAGTGTCCTTGCAGTAGGACTCTGTGTTTTCCAGCTGGTGCCTGCCTTTCAGGAAAGCAGCATCCCAGAAACAGCCACTCTCTGCCCAGGGCTGCTCTCGTGCCACCAGCGTTGCTAATTGCTTCTCACAACTGCAATTACTGCTCCAAGGGCAAAGGCATCTCCTGGAAACGAGTTAATGGGATTTTGGGTGGCCTGGCAGAGCTGAGGAGGGGCCTGTGCTGTGGTGGCTCTTGGAGATGCACAGTGTCAGTGCTCACTGCATCTGAAACCCAAAAGAGCCAAAGAGTACGTGGTATTTCTTGTGGTTTAATGTATGATGTGTCTGTAACTAACTGAGCTCTGGGGAGATGTTCCTGTTTGCACTGGCCCAGGCTTTCCTGGGAATGCTCGATGCCTTCACAGCCATTTGCTCTTCACTTTGTCTGCACTGGCAGCTGATGGTTCTTGGGTTTTGGTGTTTTTTAGAGGAGAACAGGAACAGCATCATCAACTCCAGCCTGGAATCTGTCGTCTCTTCAAATGTAAACAGCTTCCTCAACTCCAACAGCGCTCCCCAGCCCAGCCTGAACTCGAGTGATCTTGAACTAGAAGTAATTAAACCCAACAGGCCAAATTCCCTGTAAGTACAATGGTAATTAGTGTTTTATAGTCTCTCCATCCTTAATCCTTAATCAGAATTGTTTCTTATTCTCAACCTCAGCAGTCTGCTGAAGAATACCATTTAACATTTTAATTTTTAATGGGCACCAAACATTTGCCTCCATTTTTAACTCGGTCTAAGCAGTGGAATTAGTTGCTGTGGGTTACATCTGCCACGGGTTCCAGCTCTGATGGTTTTGCCCATGTGGAATATTTTTGAGCAGAACTCCCCAGTGCTGCCCGGCCCATCTGGTGATAACTCCAACACGCACAAAGGACTTTTCTTCTGAGTTCAATCCTGTGACTGTTGTCAGTACAGTTGATCTCCGGCCAAATCTATGCTGTTGCTTCTGCTATTGCTTCCTTCATCTGGAAAGTTCAAGGGAAAAAATAGTGACCTTAGCCATGCCTCCCCGGGGACGGCCGGGTTATTTATGAAGTCCCTGAACTCGCCGCGCGGAGCCCTCGCGATGGCGGCTCCGCTGGGGGAATTTCCTTCCTGCCAGGCCCGGCCAGCCCCGCAGCATTTTCCCACAGAAGCTCCCCTCCCCGCCACGTCAGGATCTGCTCAGGTCTCCAGGAGATGCAGCCCGTTCCCTGGAGCTCTGGCATGCCCTGTGCATCCCTGGGATGGGTGGTGGGAGCACTGCTGCCCTCCCAGAGCAGGGACACCGTCCTTGTCACCCCTCCCAGAGCAGGGACACCGTCCTTGTCACCCCTCCCAGAGCAGGGACACCATCCTTGTCACCCCTCCCAGAGCAGGGACACCATCCTTGTCACCCCTCCCAGTGCAGGGACACCGTCCTTGTCACCCCTTCCAGTGCAGAGACACTGTCCTTGTCACCCCTCCCAGAGCAGGGACACCGTCCTTGTCACCCCTCCCAGAGCAGGGACACTGTCCTTGTCACCCCTCCCGTGGCCCCTGTCACTGCAGTCCCCTCTGGGCCATGCCTGGGGTAGCTGGGTGCCCGTGGGCGCTGGGCATGGCCGGTGCTGGGACAGGAGCTCTGGGCATGGTGAGCTGTTGCCTTGGCTGCCTTGGTTTGGGGTTTGGGGTGCAGCTCTCACTCTGGCATTCAGGATGGCTCCAGGCCCTGCTGGGCTCTCCCAGGCAGGAAGGTAAGTGTGGAACAGACACGGGCTTCATCCAGCTTCACCATCTGCTCTGCTTCCATCATCCTCCTCCTGCCACTAAACCCTGAGCTGCAGCAGCCTCTCCTCGGTGGGCAGGGTTGGGACACCCAACCCTGCTCCATGGGGAACATCCCACAGCAGGAGAGCCCTGGGGGCAGGACAGACCACCCAAAGGTAGGACACCTCCACATCAAGGCTGTGCTGTACTTATGCTACATAGAGAGTAAAGATGCTTCTCTCTCTCGTGCCTGGTTGGAGCTCTGGAGTCAGTCCCATCCCATTCCCCAACAGGATGGCTTTAGTTTATCCTTCAAGGGGGGAAAAAAATGCTGTGTCTTATCACAGAATGAGGTTTGTGAGCCTGGGTCTTGCTGAGACCTTACAAGGATTGGTTGCCAAATTCACAGTTTTTCTGTTTCCAAGAGTTGCCTCTTCCTAATGATTTCTTTTTTAACGGAAGTTGCAGAGGAATTCAGCAGAATGGCTGAGTTAAAGCTGTGTGGGGCTCTGGGGAGCGGAGGCACCGTGCTGTTCCCGAGGGATTAGGTGAGCTGGCTGTCACTGAACCTGGTGCTTGTGCCAGTTACAGAGCCTTTATTTGTGAGGTGACACAGGGCTGAGCAGGACAGCACTGGCAGCTCGTGGCTCTCACAGTGCTGGTGACATTTGGTGCTTTTCCACGAGCCCAGTGATTATGAGATAATTTCTGCACGTGCAGGAGCGTATGGGGTTTTGGTCTGTGTTGAGCTGAAGTTTGAAATATGGATCCTAAGGGGGATAATGCCACAGGGCAGATATTCTCTGCGACCCCAAATATTTAAATCAAATGTCTTTAATCCAATCTTTCAATAAGAAGTGAAGCAATTAACTTGATTTTATTCTAAGTGTGTGTGGCTGTCACTCCCTTGGCTTGCCCAGGAGCAGGGGCTGTGCCTGTGTTTCTGAGAGCTCCGTGGGGTTCTGCCCTCGGTGCTTTGGGTTGGCAGTGGTGAGGATGAGGAGGGTGAGCAGTGCCCTGCCCTGTGGCTGCAGGCTGGGCTGGGGCAGGGTGTCTGAATGGTGCCAGTGTCCAGCGGCTCCGCGGGGCTGCCCAGGTCGTGGCTCCATAAAGACACTTCTGTTTGTCCAGGCAGCTGAGAAATGTGGGCTTTGCAGGCAGCCTCTGCCCCGGGCTGGGGCAGCTGGTGCTGCCTTGCTGGGCTTCTGGGGCTCCCCTGGAATTACCTGCCCACATTTAGGATCTGTGGCCACGGGAGGGTCGGGAGGTGCCTTGGGGTTTGTGCTCCTTCAAACGCTGCCAGATCCTCTGCTGGTCCTGTGGCACCTATCCCTGAGCTCTGCTTCAGGACTTTGGGTTTTTTTCTTGTGTTCTTCACAATTTCCTGTGATTTTTAGCTGTGGACCAGGGCTGCTGTGCTGGGGAGCTTCAGGAGGGGCTGTCTCCTGGCAGCCCCCACGAGCCCATCGGGAGCCTGTGCTCGCCCACACTGGGAAGCTGCAGGGAAAGGAGCTGGGTCATTCTGATGATATTTTGATTCAGAATATCCTGCTGATACTGCTGTGGAAATAACTCCTGTGGATTTCAGAGGGAGGCTCCTTGGAGTGCAAATGTTGAGGTCTGCAGGCCTGGGGCATTTCTTGTGTCCCATTTGAGCCGTGAGCACCGATGTGTCCAAGGTGGCCTTTAAACGTGCCAGCTGTAAATTGTGAGCACCATCTGTGAAATGAGAGATGTTTGTTTGAGCTTCTGTTTACAAAGGCCCTTGGCTCCCTGCTAAATGCTCGTGTATCCCCCAGGTCTGCTCTGCCAGGAGCTGTGCCAGTTCCTAAATCCCCCTGGTGAGCGAGTGTCGCTCCTTCCCAGCTGCTGCAGCACTGCCTGTGCTGGGGCTGGGGTCCCTCCACCTCGGTGCTGGTCCCCCTGTCCCCCTCCCCAGAGAAATGGGCTCCTTCTGACGTGCTTTCCCTGGAGCACAGTCCACAGTCTCCAATCCAGAGGGAAATGGTTTTGCTGCCGGGCTCAGGCTCTTCCTTCCCAGCCACCACTCGGGCTTTTACGATGGGAATGCATTTATTTATTAGGGCTGGGTTTATTTTTATGGAAAAACTGCTCTGGGCAGGAGTTGTACTGGGTGAGTCAGCAGGACTGCTGTCCTGTGCCAGGAGCTGTGGCTGTGGCTGCCCAGGCACTAGGACCACCAGGGCAGGGATGGTGCCCAAAGCAGTGCTGGGTTTCTGTGTCCCAGTAGGTTTCTGTGTGCCAGCAGGTTTCTGTGTGCCCTGTTGGGTGTCTTTATCCTGCCCCTGCAGAAAGCATCTTCCTTAGAAAACAGCCAAGCATGGAGCAGGGAGCACTGTGCCTCCAGCAGAGATGTGTCCTTCAGCTGGGGAAGGGGAAGGACAAGGGAATGGCTTCCTACTGATGGAGAGGGCTAGATGGGGTACTGGGGAGGAATTGCTCCCTGGGAGGGTGGGCAGCCCTGGCACAGGGTGCCTCATCCCTGAGGGTGTCCAGGGCCAGGCTGGACAGGGCTTGGGGTGACCTGGGGCATGGAAGCTGTCCCTGCCTGTGTCAGGGGAGCACTGGGTGCTTCCAGCCAAGGAGACAGAACCAATTTAACACCCCTCCCTGTTCATCCGTGCCTCCAGGCCTGCCAGTGTTCCCAGTGCTGGTGCCCATCCTCAGCCTCAGGCCCAGGGCACTGGGGGAGATGGGGCCATGGGCCAGGCTGAGCCCCCCACACTGCCAGCCCTGGCCCAGGCTGGTGCTGCCCCTCCCTCACCCTAGGGACTTGGCATTTAGAGAAATAATAACCTTGGGAAACTCAGATTTAGTCAGTACATGTCTATTTGCATTTAATTTCATTTTCTCACTGACCAAGTATGGCTATTTCTTGCCCTCTGTGGGTATGGAAAGAAATGAGGAGCAGATCTAAGGTCTAGTGGTCATGAAAAAATAACCCAGTTGCTCCAAGGAAGAGTGGTTATTCCCACATAAATAAATCTTCATTAGGCATCCCAGTTAAAATTGAACATTTCTCTTTCCATGCCTGAAAATGAGAGAAATTTCAGCTATAACTTTCTCTGTCAGGGACTTCTCCAAGTGGCTGGGAGGGAGTTGTGGGGCAGGGGGACAGGGGACAACACACCAGAGCCGTGGGACTGGGGTGATGCTGCACCTTCCTCCCATTGCTCTGCTCCTGAAGGCCCTCACCATCCCAAGTCCAAGGGCAGCATCCCAGAGTCATGGAAGCACTGCTTTGCCTTGGAATGACCTTCAAGCTCCTTCATCCCACGGGCAGGGACACCTTCCACTGTCCCAGTTTGCTCCAAGCCCTGCCCAGCCTGCCCTTGGACACTTCCAGGGATAGGGCAATGGATCAAACAGGAGAGGGTAGGATTTCTTTGGGAAAATGGTCTCTTAAGAATGCAGGTACCTTTGGCAGTTATCAGCTGGGACACAGGAAGGCAAAGCACGTGAGGTGAAGCACACAGACCTTTAGGTGCTGCTGGTGCCTGTCCTGGGGAGCTGGGCAGAGCTGCAGGAGAGCCCAGGCTGTGCCTGCCCGTCTGTCCTCAGCACAGGGGCTGTGGGGAGCCAGAAATGAGTCCTTAACCTGCCTGACCTGCAGTTCCTGTCCCTGTGCTCCCAGGCCCTTGTTCTGCTGAGCTTTCATGGCTCTCTGCTCCGTGGCTCCTGTTGTTTATATTCCTGAAGAATAATGGCAATTAGAGGTGCAGAGGCGCAGGAGCAGGTCCCACCCTCATCCTGCCTTCCCGGCAGCCACTTTGGGAATGTCCCTCTGAAATGGCATCTCTGGGACTTCTGTTTAAGAAATTTACTCA